AGATCTAGATAGGTTGTACGCCGACTCATTAATATTCCATGACGGACTTAATTGACGCGATATCAACTAGGGACCTTGCGGAAAGTCATCGAACGACAGTAGTGTGTCCGCTCTCAGGGAAATAACGAATGCAAGGAATCAATTGTGCTAGCCGAGATAGTCCTCGTCTCTTCCCGCAAGGTGGGCGCGCGCAACGTAGCTTCGACGTAAAACTAAGAGCTAGGGAGCTCAAAACCGATAAGATCGTTCGCGTGAGTCTACTCGGGGGTAGTTTGCCCCAAATGGCTAGTCCCATTTCCCTCTTTTATAAGTAGCCACCGTTTCGACGTGTTTCCATCGTTGCGACCACGTAACGTCCGTTTCTTTTTCATCCTTCCTGTCTTTTCACATTATAAGCTACGTTTTCGTCAATTCCCCCTCCCTCGAAGCTCCTTTTCATTACAATGAAAAGCAACAATACACCATGTGAGTGTATTTATTTCATCTTCTCAAGTATCTTACCTTATGTTTGATATCTTACACGCTTATCATACTCCTTATGTGATAAAGCTGATAAGAAAAGTTCATCGATAATCGACTATATCATTCAAATTCGTATGCTCTTCTCGCGCATGCGTCACTTGAGTTTCTCAAGTTTTACGACAATTTAAATACTTCCCCCTTCATAGCGGACTCAAATTTTATTCGAAAAAATTCAGTAGAATCAAAAAAAAAAAAAAAAAAGAAAGAAAAAAAAAGAAAAAAAAAAGAATAAGACGAAGGGTGAGTGGGATTCGAAAGAGACGATAGCAACTAGCGACTGGTTTATTAACGCCAAGCCGAGTAGCAAAAGCGGTGGTAGGAGCGAGGCCGAGGGTGGATTTGAGCTGAAAAAATCTGCCTATTCCTTCGGATTCCGAGCTGTTCGGGGTGTCCTTTTCCCCCTTTCTCTACGGAGGGCCGCGAAGAGGTACTTTTCGGGGCCGTGCGAATCCCAACGAACAACCGAGCGAGCGAGTGAGCAAGCAAGAGAGAAAGAGAGAGAAAGAGAAAGAGAGAGAGAAAAAGAGAAACAGAGAGAGAGAGAGAGAGAGAGAGAGAGAGGGAAAGAGAGAAAGAGGAAGAGCGATAGAGAGAGCTGGCAAGCTGAAATCCTGACGTCCTGACGTGGCAGTGCGAGAGATCGAGCGCGAGATCGGGCTTACGAGTGCCCGCCGCGCTTCCACTTACACTTGCGCGCTTGGACGCGCTCAGCTAAGCTCAGCACATTGCTGTATGCCTAGCGGCTTTACCCTCGACAATGTTTTCATATTGTGCCGCGCGCCTGTTTATGGGCACGGGCCGCCTACTTGGCCAGCATTTTGCTCGCTTTTCTCCGCTTCTTCTCTCTTCTCTTCTCTTTCCTCTTCTTGGCTCAGCTCCTTCTACACCATCCGCGACTGCAATCTCTCTCTCTCTCTCTCTCTCTTTCTCTTTCTCTTTCTCTTTCTCTTTCTCTCTCTCTCTCTTCTTTCCCCTCTTCCTATCTTTCTTTTTTTCCCGATATCTCGCTATCCTTCTTTCTCTCTCATCGTTGCAAGAATCAACGTGTCTCTTGGTTTTCAGCTTTACCTTCTTGTTCTCTTACGAGAACGAGCTTAAAAGCGCTGAAGGACTCGCGGGACCTGCCTCCACCGCCTCATCGCTGGAGAACTTGAAAGGAACCTCCAAGAGAGATACTCGACTCGGCTCGAGTACTTCCCTCGGCTTACCGTTTGTCTCCGCTTCTTTCTCTCTCTCTCTCTCTCTCTCTCTCTCTCTCTCTCTATCTCTCTATCTCTCTATCTCTCTTTTTTCTCTCTCTTCTTCTCTTGCTCGTTCTCTGTCCTTTCACCTTCTCTTCCTCTCCTTCTCTTGGTATATTTTCCTTCTTTTTTTTTTTCGAACCTACCCGAATCCAGGCCCGAGTCTCAACATGGTACAGCTCTTCGCGTTCGTACCTGTTCGCACGAGGACGACTTTGGTGTGCCGGTTCAAGTACGTCGATGGCGCCCGTTTATTTCTTCTGAATGCGATTCGGTCCACCTGTCGTTCTTCTCTTTTTTCATTACTTTTTTTCTCTTTTCTCTTCTTATACTTCGCACACCTTCGCGCTTCGCGAAAGAGAAAGGACGGCGAGTGCTTGGAAGAAGTGCGACGAATCGACGCTTCGAAAAAACGCTTGGGCTATTTTCTTTTCTTTTTCTCTTGCTCTCTCTCTCTCCCTCTACCTCTCTCTCTCTCTCTCTCTATCTTTCATTCTCGTCGTCCCTTGCTTTAGACGTGATCGTTAATGATAAGATTTCATTACTTTTCTTTTTAACTTCGTCTTTTTTAACTTCAAAGATCTGTCGATTTATTCAATCTTGACAAATTATCTTTATTATTTTATAGATAATCATCTTTTATAGAGAACGATTTGACATGGATAAGATTGGATATGTATATGGCAAGAAGCATGAGATATGTTGCCCATGTGTTAAAATCATAAGCTTTGATTTTAAATATCTATGATCATTATTATTCTATCTTAAAAAGGTTTATATGTTTGTAACGTCCACGTAAGACAGGGAGATACCTTATGTCGTGCCTGGGGATACCATATGGCAATTAAGCTAGAGGGAGATAAGGGATACGGAGCAAATATTTGCAGGGTGACGCCTTTACTTGCGCGCTAGTAGATAGGACTCTTTTTATGTTATCGACGTTTTCAAATATTGTAATCGTGATAGTTAATATAATTGATGAGAAATAACGTCGATATTACGATGTTACGAAAAGAATCAAATTTTTATTTATACTTTCGAAACTACTACGATTCCTTACGTAACATTACCTTCGGCTTGTTTAAACAAGGATAAAAAAAGAAAAAAGAGAAAAATGCTGCGGAGTGAATCGTCGAGCTTATAAAGAGTACCAATACGAAAAATATCTCTTTTTAATCGATATATTGTCGTAGTTTATAAAATAACGTTCAATTGTTGCGCTTAAAAATAGTATGTCGAAATACTCTTTCGTTTTTAGAGACGAATGAAATAACAGTATGTACTACGGCATGTATTCTTTTGTTCGTGAACATTATTGTACCATCATAATTCATAGGGAAATAGTAGAATCATTTTATCGTTATTACAAATCTCACGGATAGTTTTCTTTTTCTATTTGAAACATCGATAAAATCAATATTTTGTAATATTCTAGGATCTATCTTAGAGAAAAAAACAAAATTGGATTTATATATTTATATTATAATTTTCCTGAGAATTGGGGAAGGGTGAATAATCGATTTAATTAATAACTCTCTCAGAGAAGTTTCCCTTTTTCTCCCAGTGAACTTCTTTGAATCAACCCTTTCATGATTCTGCTTTTTTTTTATATCGTTTTATATTATATATATATGTGCATGTATACATATATATATATATATATATATATATATATATACATATTCCTCCTACTTTACATTACGTATATTTCGTATTCTTTCTATAAGCTACATACCTTGAGAAGAAAAGACGAACGTCCGTTAAAAAGTTCATGGTGGTCAACGAACAGCAGACAAGCCGAAAGTAAAAGAGTCGAGGTGCTTAACTTTAAGCCGGCGCTAATGAGATTGAAACACAATGAAAATGTCGTATAACGAGTGGAAGAAGCTTTTGGTCTTTGAATCAAAGTCCGGCTACTTTCCAAAATCTCTGAAAAGCTCCTCGACCGGTCGAAGTGCAGCCGTTAGATGGTCGACGGTAAAAATTTTCCGAGAAATTTTTAGTCAGACGAAAAAGATCTCTTGTCTTTTCGTCAATTACATACACTACTCAAGAGGATATAAAATTAATGAACTTATTATTATTCTGATCGCAATAATCCAAATCAAGAATTTATTTCTTTTATCTTCTTAAAAGCGAATATAAAATCTATTTTAGATTAATTATTGATAAATACGTCATGATATTAATAATGCATCTTATTTCTAATAGATGTGAGCGAATCGATCATATACGATAACTTAGATAGGTATATACGAAAGCTATAATATAAAGGAAAATAGAATTTTAAAAAGTATGTTCGTTCGACATTTTTCCATTGAATCCGAATCTTCTTTTAACGATCTTAAAACGAAAACAAGTGCGTCATGGTAAACGTGTGTCGTTAACGTATACGTCGCACTTTCGACGTATTTAGATTCAAAGATACATCACACACACATAGATACACACATATACACATACACACGCACACACATATATACATACAGACATACTAGATACATAAGCATAGGTAGGTTGTTGTAGACGAAGGAAATCGTCGACGAGAGTGATGATTTCGAATCTACCATATGGCAAGGTTCTACGTTGTGCTTATCAAGAGATAAGTCGATGCAATTAAAGCGACTCTTTCTCTCTTTCTCTTTCTCTCTTTCTCTTTCTCTCTCTCTCTCTCTCTCTCTCTCTCTCTTTCTCTTTTTCTCGCACACGTAGGCACTGTCTACCTGTCCTTCGCACGTAGGCAACATGTCGAGCTCATTGGGATTTTTAGTCCATGTGGCGGCTTGCTATATAGCACCTAAGTCTTTTTATCGGACGAAGGTACGCCTTTTAACGAGCGTACGGTAAACCGAGATAGGAGATAGCGGATTTGAATGCTCACCGTGCCATAACTATAGTCAAGGCAAATGACGAGAAACGTTGGGAAGAGCTACGTGTGATTCGAGAAAATCCGATGAATTTTTTCTAGCGATAAATCTATCCGCTTTCTACGTTTTCTTTTTTTTTTCTCTCTCTTTTTTTCCCGTTTCCTTTATTTCCCTCTCTTTTTCTTTTTTTTTTTTTTTTTTTTTTTATAGAAAAGATACGAGTATTTATTTATCTGTTTTTTGTTCAAATTGATCAATCGAGATAGTTTAACAATTTCATTCATCGTTTCCTCAATTACTCTTTTGTTTTTCATTTATAATATCGATAGTTATTTAAAAGCTACGTATTTTAATGTGTAGATCTTTCAGATACTTACGATTTATAATATTTATTATTCAATTTATACATTCCAAATATTTTCGTTTTGTTATAATTAAAGATGATTTTTTTTTTTTTTTTTTTTTTTTTTAATTATAATTAAAGATGACATTTTCATTATGCCATAACTCCATATAATTTCAATGCTTATCTTTATATAAATGAAAAATTATTTATCTTATTTATTGCCATGATTGCGTGATCAAGAAAGAGATAATAGTTGATCAGTAAGATTTTCCTTTCTTGCCCAAAATTCGTTCTCTCTGAGCCATTAATTCCTCGGCGGTGATAATGACTTGGCATCTATGCGCCTGTGCGTTGCATCTTATGCTTTGACAGCATTCACGATCAACCACGCACTGTAAACAAATAAAATATTAGTTGATACAATTATACTAATTATTAAAAGCAATTTGCATTAAATGAACCAGAATCGTTTAGATATATCATGTTCTCATTTACTCGTATATAATTAGAACTTCACTTATTTATTTATTTAGCTATTTAGAAAAAAAAAAATATATATATATATATATTGTTTTCTTTTTATCGTTATAAGACTGTATTCGTCGATACTTTTAAGAAATGATAGAACGATTTTTTTATTGACTTTCTACGTAATAACATATAATAACATAAACGAACTTCATTCGTATCGATGGGAACATTCGCATATTTAAATGGCGAAAAGTCAATATATGATTATCATTGAATACTAAAGTTCTAACCTTATTAAGATGCGCAATGCGATGAATTCACACGATTAGAATTTCCAATTTGTGACTTCACTTTGATTATATAGTATATAGAATAAAATATTAATAATACAAGCTAAATAATCAATAATAGGATGATTTAATTTAATAAATAGCTAATCGTATATCATTTCTGTTAAAATGTCCTTGTATATAGAAATACGGACACAAGGTCATTGCCGTGAAACGAATTTTAACGTAAATTGAAATATTTATGTATGTTTTGTTATTTATTTATTTATTTATTTCTTTTTTCCCCTAATAAACGAGAAAGAAACGTAAGACTAGAGAGATATCATGTGAAACGATCGACAAAGCAGAAAAACAGGCTATATGTAAATGTGTACTGACGGGGTCACCGTGCCGACCGCAGCGTGAGTTATCGGGAGCAGCCACGATAAGTGTGCTAGCAAGAAGAGTTACAAAAACGAGCAGCATGAACTTCGACATCTTCGTTGTTTCTTGGAATTCTGTAAGGAAAACATTGTGATCTAATTAATAAATGATCATTAGTATAAAATATATTTTTATTGTGAAATTTTAATTATATTGCCAATGAATAATCGTAATACTGTTTTGGCATTTCTAACTTTAATCTCTTTCACGAGGAATTTTATTCAAGGTTTTAAAGATCAAAAGCAATATTCGTGAAACGCAGAACCGTCACGCACGAACACACTCATACATATGCTCACTAAAAGAAAAAGAAAAATCACATGCACACACACATAGAAACACAGGCGATGTATATCAACGATTATACAGGTGTGTAGATAAATGAATCATTACTGGTTGCCCTGACTCGTTCTTGAATAAAGGATCCAGTGACTAAAGACTATACATACTCATGGTCGAGCATGTATGGACGTTTAATCCACTTTAAAACGTTTATTCTTCGTTACGTAGCTATTGGAATAAATAAAGACGATTGTTCGAACACGTATACGTGCGAATGTGTGAAGAGAAAGTATGTCACAACGGCATCTCGAACCTTTCAAAAAATATAATATGAAAGATCTCCTTTAATGAAAATATTCACTTCCTTTTTAACGAAACGATCGATGTAAATATGTAACAATAATCGACGCAATCCGTGTGATTAAAGAAATAGTTTTATATTATTATCACTTGATACTTACAAATGGGCTTATTATTCGCTAACGAAATATAAACTACGCACAGATTCCGTCGCAAAGATATCTTCTCGAGAGTTCGACCTCGACTACCTTCCTTCGTTCGTTCTGTTCAAACTATATACGAAGAGTGTATACATATATGTATACACAAAGTATAGAAGTAGGAGAAACGGTGACTTTATGAATCTCGATGGCTTCTTCGAAACATATATGAGTCATTTATGAGCGAGTTTAGGCTCATGGGTCGTTTCAATGAAAAATGACCCTGTTATCTTACTTCTGTTATCGTTTCTTAAAACATATTCATAATATAAATTTCATATGCTGTTGCTTTAACAAGTGTTTTTTATTACTTTATAAAACTTGTATCGTACATAAAAAATAATAGTCGATAGGTTATTCGTATTTCTTTTTTTTCCTGTTTACTTTTTTTTTTCCTTTTTTTTTCTTTTTTGTGTATAATTAAATAAAATAAAAAGGAACGATTAATGTACGCCATTCTCTATTGATCATCGTGCAAGAATGAAAATTTTATTTTTCCTCGAGATTTTATATCGACTGTAAGTCTTCACTTTCTGCGCCGTACGGTATGAAACGGACAAGTGCCTTTTGACTTTTGCACCGATATTCTATCGAGTGCATATTGCACGCTTCGTACATTCCATTGATCTCTCCACAAAGCCCTCTTGTTCTTTAATTCGCTTGACAGGAAATAACAGAGGAAGAAATCGAGTCACACACTGTTATTGCTCCTTTATTTCGCAACGGTAGTCGGAGAAAAGAGAAAGAAATACACAACAATACGATTTTTATCCATCATCGAATATATCGATACCATTATGTTGCGATAATAAGTAAATGTTTTACGTCTTTTTGAGGAACTTAAGTGATTTCATTTTCTTTTTCTTTTCTTTTTTTTTTTCTTTCCAATTTAAATAAAATATTCATAATATGCACGTTTTAAAATTAGTATCACGATAACAATTTTTTTTTTTTTTTTTTAAATATCTTATCTGGATTATTCTTTTTTATTTAATTATACTGTAATTTTAAAAGAAAACAAAAGTATGATAATGTATAGAGCTTTTATTTTCAATAAAATTATCATTTATTTCAACGATTTTCATTAAGTTCATTGATGCTCAATATATATTTTAAATATGTCCAAACCATAATGTTACATTTGATTTTCAGATAATTAAAAAATATAACACGGGTTGTTTATTGAACGATAATATTTTATGTGGTTGGTGGATATGGTGGTGGACCAATAGGTCTGGTATCTGCACCGGGAATTATCAATCCATGTTTTGGTACGCACTTAGCCGCGTAACTTAGACAAATAAGGTTACGACAGCAATCTGAGTAAATTTGACACTGTAAAGGAGAAATACTATTTAATAAATTTGTCTATGAAATTTGATTGCTATTCTTTGTTTTGAAACAATTTTCATTTTTATTTTCAACAAAAATCGTAAATAGATAAATATCACTATCAAAGCTTAATTATTATAGCAAACTTACGTATCCAAGCCACGGACTGCATGAAGCTTCTGATTCTTTAGGCTTAGGTGCAGCAAGAGCTAATGCGAGGAGAGCAAGAAAGATGAATTTTTGCATGATTATGCGTTCTTTTTGTCCTAAAAAAAAAAAAAAATATTCAACTTATATATGAATCAATTGCAATTGTGAAGTGTAAAATGTACTATACAAAATAAAAAAGTTTTTATTCGAAACGACGAGATGAAATTGTAATGATGATAATAAATCGAAATGTATATCGGAAAGAATAATATTTGATAAATAATAATTAATAATAAATCGTTAATATACTTACCGTGTTAAATGTTAAAATAGCAATCGGTGTTAGAAGCACAAGTTACTTATAAATCTTACTTAAGAAGATGATAACTTACTAATTTCTAAACGGCGATAATCTAGTATTTATACGATTTCTTGACGTATAAGCTGATAAAAAGAATACGTAATAGAATATCTACCTGCGTATATTTTTTTCTATATAGAAAATATCATTTATCTTTTAACCTTCATTTTAATCGTTGTAGAATTACAACAGTCATACTAATATTTATTTTATTTGTTTAATAATTGTACAACATAATATATATCGAACAATAGAGTATATGCATTTTCTATCTGATGAATTGATATGTATAATAAAACAAGTACTTACATGCTAAATTGTTTTTGAAATTTATGTATACGCATACTTGTATACTTATGTATATTTCAATATATATACTTAACATTAATAATATATGAGGATGTATCCGTAAATATGTATTTTTAAAATGAGAAAGAATTATAATTAATAACATTCATCGAATATCTGATTTATTAATTACTCGTTTTATTCTGAAGACTTCATAATAATAAATATATATTAAAACTATTGGATTGAATAATTATAAATTCATTTATATAAATTCCTTTAGAATTATAAATCTATCAAAGAAAGCAAATAGTTAAATAAACTGTATCTCTTATCGTTCTCTTTTTTGTCTGAAACAAAAAGGGAATTAAATTTTTTATATTAACATTAGAATATTACGCATTATGTTTTATTCAAACGTTAATACCATATCGATAAAACCAGAAATCGAAAAGCAAATATTTTTACGGTGATATCATTCGATCTTGGATTTATCTAAGGTAAAAAAGATTTTATATCGTACTATCGACGAAATTTTCATGGTGAGTAATATGATAAAAAAAAAAAAAAAAAAAAAAAAAAAAAAGAAAATTTGTTTCTAATAATACATATATATTTTCCAATTAAATAATAAGTCAAATTAAAGAAGTCATTGTGTACGATTAATTGATAAAAAATGTATATTTGATTGTAAGCCTACGAAGTAACGTCGAAATGTCAGTAAGCTCATTGTGATTACTGGTTGCCATCACTGTTAGCGTCAGCCAATGGCCAGTTTCCACCCTTTGTGCAACGATTAGCCCAAGGGTTGCATATCAACAAACCACAGCACTGGTTACTGTTGGAGCACTGTAAAAATCGAAACGCAAAGCTTATCGATAAAACAGCTAAAATCATGGATGGTTGTATAATAGCACATATGTTATACAAAATTTCGTATAGATTTGTTAATTGATTAATTTTTTTTTTTTTTTTTCAATATATAACTCACCATCACAATTATATTTCACCAATAAAAAGATACTTACAGGCTGGCCTGGTTGTAAACAAGCCATGACACAAGTCAATGTCAAGAGAGCAAAGTAAAGAAGCAATAAAAGCTTAGCCATTTTATTTTATTTTATTTTATTTTTTAATTTTCTGAAAAAAAGATATATAACTTTAATTATTTATGAAAATAATTAAATTAATGAAAGAATTAGAATTAATTAATTTGTACAAAGTTCTTTAATTACGTCCTAAAATTATATCTCACCTTACAGATTTCACTCGGAAATGTGTCACAAGATTTCTAAACCGTTCTAGCGTTAGCATGACATATTTATAGTGTGTCCACATAAACAAACAAAGATAAAATTGTGTTTTATTAACTAATGTTATATGAACATTACCTGGATATCTTTCACAGAAAAAAGAAATATTGTTTACCATATTATTTTTCTAACAATATTATCATCTATCAAGGTTCATCGATCGTAAAATATCACGTACATACTGTATGTATAAAAATATTATATAAAGCTATATATACGCTGCGCTCATTTTTTTAACGTAAATTACCCCTTATTGTCCTGCACTCGCGGAAATAACAAGACTATTCTTGAAATTCCAATCATCTTGATAATTTGATAAGATTCACGTGATGTTTGCCCATCTATGATCTGATTGTGAACTAAGGAACGCTTATTTCAATTATTTCAAAAGATTACTTCAATTTTTTGATAGAAAATATAAATATTTTATTTAATCAATAAGTATTATTTAATATATATGCATATATTTATTACGTTATGTGAATATATAAAGAAAAGAGGCATCCAAAGAGATTATTGATTTGTGAAATTTTCCACTTGTACATATGCACATAAATTTGAAAATTAAAAAAAGTGTGATCGTAAAGTAAATAAATGATATCTCGTATGATTTTTTATTGAATTTATCATCAGTAAAAAGATCTAATAAACTTTCCTGATATTTATGTATGCTCCAAACTAAAATTATTCTGTCTGTATTTGAAGCAATCCCGATATGATCTATATAATATTATATATTGTATTATTACGACAGTATATATATATATAGACAGATATATATATAGATATATATGTCTGAAGTGTACCTTTCGAACAAGTGATTGATACACAAAGGAGAACAACGTTATCTTATTTATATCTTGCAAATAGATAAGATCTTGAACGTAAAGTGTATTTGTATATTTGCTTTAGTCACTGATAGTGGAGAATCAAAAATATTTTTATATATTGTGACTAAGAAAAATAAACTTATGATTTAGAATCATACGATGATATTACTGAGATTGCGTCCCTATCTCTCGGTATCATAAAGCCATGTTATTTCGGAATGAAAAATAATATCAATTTTTATACATTGTTCATATATTCGCCGAGGTCTTCTATATATAATGATATACATTCGAATATCAATATATAATAATCGTATATTTTATGGTTGATCGATGTAAGTATTACATATTTAAAACGTCATTGATTTATTTATTTAATGTGATACGTATAAATGATTAGTATGATGATACTCCAATTTATACGTTTAAACGAAAATTTATTCTATCGAATGCATACGTATACCAAGCAAATATTATTGCATTGATTTAAATGTGACTCTTGCGATTGTCGGATTACATGAAACACAGATATCCCGATTGATTATTTAAACGTGTTTAATGATATTTGTGCTATTTATTTTCATTCACGTAGTAATAGCCAGAATTATATATCGTCGATCAGATAAATAGGGATTATGCAGTTAAAGTCTTTTAAGTTCGTTTTATTTTGTTGATCAGATAATTTTAATTTTGCGGTTCTTTTACCGAATCTATTTTTTTTTTCTTTTTCTTAAAATATCTTATCAAAATATTGAAAAAGACTTTATTAAATCCTATACGGACTTTTACGATTCTAACGCATTTTGACAAAAAAATAAAAAACACAAATGCATATTGAATCGATATCA